ACATGACGAACAATTGCATCCTTTGAGAAGGAAAAAAGGAAAAGGTGAAGACGCACATGCTCCCATGGAAAGAACAAGATATGCATATGAAAAGTACCGTGAAGTTAGAAGTAAAATTACTTCTGGTCGAACCTTTACAGTAAACTTTGACGAAGGAAAGAACAAAGAAGGCTTCATGGGTGTACTTGCTGCCATACAAGACGGAAATAAGAAAGGATACAATCTCAGACTAACCGTAACAGATTTAGATGGTCATATATACTACTCACATGGCAATGTCACAACAGCTGCAATGCTTCTTGACGCTTTCAAGACTACAAAGAGAGAACAAATGTTTGACTCCGACTCAGATATTTTGAATGCGATTGAAGGAATTGCAAGCGTGAAGTTCGAATGGTACCAACCCAACCCTCAAGCAGTCAGACAATATGCTGGATACTTCCCGTTCATAAACAAGTCTGACATTAACCTGACAAGGTATGGAATTTACAATTCAATTGAAAAAATTGTCAATGAACCTTGTATTCTTACATGTCTCAGGAACTCTGGTCTTGTTACAGATGAGAAGATGAAGTATCTTGAGTCATGTGTGAAAACAAGGTACATTCTTAGAAGTCAATTGACAAAGATTGCACCGTTGGCAAATGTCAATATCCGCGTCAACATACCTACAGCTAAAGGTTCTTCACATGACGACTATGTTGTTGACTTCAAATTGCCATGGTTGAAGATTGTACTTCTCCACAACCACTTCATGTTGAACGAAAGTCTTACAAACCCATTGTTCGGAAAAGGCAAGTGTAACATTGCCAGAGCTGTTAACATTCTTTTCGAGAAAGGTTTGTTGGAACCAATTCCAGATGACAAGCTGACAGAAACTTTTGTACCAAAAGATGAAACAAACTTTTCATTGTTGGTAAGACCAAAAGTTGTTCCGGACAAAGTTATAGCACAAAAGAAGTACACAGCTCCAAAAGGAGTTGGATTGTTCGGATACCAACCTGAACCAGAAGAACTTCCAATGAGGTTGCAAGAACTTCAAGATGCTATAAACAAACTTCCATTGAGACATTCAATCGATGTCAAATTGTATTGGAGAGCTTCAGAGTTAGGTCAGAAAATTTTATATGAAACAGGTTGCTTTGACGATGTTTATGAGATAACAGGCGAGGTTTCTCAAAAGATAAGAGACTCACTTGAATTTCCACGAACCGGACCCATTGGATGCGACAAGTTCGACTCATACGAAAAAATATACTATGTCGACCTTAACGCTGCATACATGAGGTTCGTCCAATATATTCCAACTGGAATTCCAAACGAAGACGGTGAGTTCCCGGGAAGGAACTATACAGTTGGAAAAGTCATACAACAACTCTATGATATTAGGAAAGCTTCAAATCCCAAACTCGCAATGACACTGAAATTGCTTATGAATTCGACATGGGGATATTCCATTAAAAAACCTCAAAAGATGAAGAGTAAACACTATGAGAAGGTCGACAACTTTGTTGAAAGGTTCTCCACTTTTGTTTTAAAGTACGAGTTCACCGAAGGTCAAAGTGGCTCAGTAACCACAGTAAAACCTATTGTCGAACATTGGTCTTATCCTCAGTTCGCAAAGGCAGTCCTTGACAACTACAACAAATTTTTCTCGGAAGTTAAATCGAAAATTGTGGTATACTATGAGAACATCGATGCACTCATGACGAACGAAGAAGGGTATAACAAACTCATTGAAATGGGCATGGTCGGTGAGAAGATGGGCCTTTTTAAGCTAGACAAGGTATTTTCCGAAGTTCATGTTCTCTCCAAGCGTAAGTACTGGGGTGTACTTGAAGACGGGACAGAAATAAAACATTGCATGAAATAGTAAAACATTTTTTAAAACATTTTTTCAAAAAAAATATTTTTTTATTTTATTTGAAATGTACGCTGAGTTTGTTGGAAAGGACTGTTGGAAAACTTGTTTGTTAGATGAGAAATATGAAATTCACTGTTGTGAGTCATTTGAAGTCAGAAAAAAGGAGACAAAAAGAGTTTTAAGCGAATGGGAGGGAAATAACGGATATGCTATTATGAAGATGAGTGGAAAACACTATCTTAAACATGTTGTCATTGCAACTCATTTTATACCGAATCCTAACAATTTACCTTTTGTAGACCATATAAACCGTATAAGAAACGACAATAGACTTGAAAACTTGCGTTGGGTCACTCGTTCTGAAAACAATAAGAACATAGGCAATTTTAGAGATATAGTATTCGAATTTGTCGACGAACTAGAAGATGAAACAATTGAAATTACAGACTATGGCAAGCATACGCTTGAGTTTTACTACTATAGCGAAGAACAAGACTCTTTCTACTTTTATACCGGCGTAAACTATAGAAAATTACAAGTATGTTTTACTAAGTCGGGCTATGCTTATGTAAACGCTAGAGATACAGATGGAAAACACGTTCAAATACTTCTTAACAAATTCAAGAAGCTATATGGCATACCATTTTAAAACGTTTTTAAAACAGTATATTTTACTAAGGCGGGCTATGCTTATGTAAACACTAGAGATACAGATGGAAAAAACGTTAAAATATTTCTTAACAAATTCAAGAAGCTATATGGCATACCATTTTAAAGCGTTTTTAAAACATTTTTAAAACAGTATATTTTTACATATATAAAATGCTTCAGGTTGAAAAACAAAGAACAAAAGTAGCAGATACAAAACCGTTAGACTATATCTTTACAAACGCAGGTAGGACTATATCAGATGAAGAAATTTTATCCGGAGCTTATCGGTTTGACTATCCAATTCGTTGGCTTCAAAGTCCTTCAGATGCAAAGGCAATAGGATTTAGAAGAGTTTTGTTTTCAAATAGAACTAACGCGTTTATGTTTGCAGTATATTTTCACGGTCAGTATAAAGGTTCTGATGGTCTAATAGAAAAATTTGACGAAATGAAGATCTTTACTATTCGTTCAGACGAAAGTCTTGAAAAAACTCTAAATGACTTTCAAACTCAAATAAACAAATACTACTGGGAATTTCAAGAAAAATACCACTCTTTACTAAATGGAACATACTATCTAAAACTAGAATACGACAAGATGAACTCCACAGTTTCATTTCAAAGGATTGAAAATAACCCTCCAAGAGATACAGAGTTTTTATATTGGGGGTGGACAAACGTTCTTGGCACAATTTCTTCGGTTACTAAACCAGAACGAACCATTGCCACCTGACGGTCCGTTTAAATTTATACTCCCACCAACAGATTTGACAGTTTATAGAAACGTGTTCGATCCTCAAAATGTCATGTGTCATGCAAGTTTCAGTTCAAGCAACAACAGTTTTCTTTGTATCGGTAAGGACTTTTATGACTTTGCTTCTAAATTCTACGAACCACCTAGTAACAGTTTCTCTGACTTTCAAGTTTGGTTCACAACAAACGGTGTGCAGCATATTATTCCATTGTACTATGACTTTTATCTCGAATTGTCTTTCATATACAACTACGGAAAAGTGCTGAAAAAGTATTGAAAAATATATTTTAGGCGAACCAGGTCCCTCGGTCCCTCGGTCCCTCGGTCAACTAACATCTTTTTGAAAATGGTGACAACATGACATTTTGACAACAACACAGGAAATAGATTTCATCATCTAATTTCTCATGAATTTCATCGTAAATGTTTTGTATAAAAAGCAACCCGCGGAATTCCGCGGGGTGGTATATTCTTCACGAAATGCTTGTTTTGAGGTTAAGCCACAAACGAATGTCCGACGGTTAAGCCAAAAATATTTTTTATTTTTATTGTAAGAACAGTATGACAGTCGAAGCAAAAACGTTCACGAACAAATCTAATGGCGAAACATTCACAAAAGGCACCTATAACGGTATTGAAGTCTTACGTAGAGACAAGGATGGTTATATAAATGCAACAAAGATATGTCAGCAGTTTAGGAAAGACTTTAGAAGGTTGTTGGAAAATAAGTCCTGGGAAGAGTATTTTAAGGCATTTTGTGAAGAATATACCACCCCGCGGAATTCCGCGGGGTGCTTTTTATACAATGTTAATGCAGAAATTCCCGATGAAATCAAACAGGTTAGAGGAATGTATGTAGACCCAAGACTTACAAACTATATAGCAATGTGGGCTTCTCCAAAATATTGCATAGCAGTTGGAAAAATTCTGGACTCCATAGACAAGAAAGTTCATGAGAAATTAGATGAAGAAGAACTTGAAGATACAGTAGAGAATGCTAAACCTTTGTTCGAAGAAGAAGTTAGAAAAATGCATGAAAAACAAATAGAACATGAACGTGAGATATGTTCTGGTTATAGAGACTCTCCATACGAACTAGACCAATGGGAACAAGAAGATTTAAAGAGAGAATTTAGAGAATATGAACTCGCTAAAGTTTCATTAGAAGCTGCAGAAGAGAGGTTAAAAGGTTGGGGTCCTTTTGTACAAAAATATTTTGAGTAAATGAACCATTTTATTTTTATTGAATTCGGCAAAAATATATTTTTAGATCTCACCAGGTCACTCGGTCACTCGGTCACTCGGTCATTTTAACTTCTCTGAAAAAGTGTGACAACATGACATTTTGACAACAACACAGGAGATAGATTTCTTCGTCAATGTTTTGTATAAAAAGCACCCCGCGGAATTCCGCGGGGTGGTATATTCTTCACGAAATGCTTGTTTTGTCAAGACTTTCATCGTCAATGTTTTGTATAAAAAGCAACCGCCGGAATTCCGGCGGTTGGTATATTCTTCACAAAATGCCTGTTTTGTCAAGACTTTCATCGTATATGTTTTGTATAAAAAGCACCCCGCTGTTTTCCGCGGGGTGGTATATTCTTCACGAAATGCTTGTTTTGAGGTCGAGCCATTTTTGGCCCCACCGTAGAAAACACACATAACTCTTGAATTCGGCAAAAATATATTTTAGTTTTTTAAAAAAATATTTTTTTATTTTTATTGTAAGAACATGTCAGCAACAACAGCACCAAACTCGTTAGTCATGAACCCAACATCTATGTTAGTAGAGATGAAAAGCTTCATTCCTTCTTCATATACTTTCGAAACAGAAATCCAGAAGATAAAGCAAGAACTTCTCCAAGGAGATTTAGACTGTAGTGCGAAAGATGAAACAAATGAACAGTATCTTTATGAAATGCAGGATATTATTGACCATCTACCTAAAATTCCTGAAATACAACAACAAAAGCTTACTATTCCAGAATTCGATGAAATAGAAGTGAAACCAACTGACTCAGTAGAAACCAAGAAGTTCATACGAAAGATAAACTATGAGTTTCTTGGATTTCATTGCAACCACAAAGACTGCGATATGGTATATTTCATTGACATATATAAATCTGGGGAGTTTAAGACCTACGACAACTTTGTTTCGTTAGTTGCAAAATGTGTATGGCAGATAAGAGATAAAGATAGAAGAGGTAAAGTATGGAATGAACAGATAAAACCAGCAGCCTTTGAGTTAAAGAAAACCATTTACGCCTTACTTGTTTTAGCAGGTAAGGTTTCAGAATATAACGCTAAAATGAACCCACAATGTTCAAAATGTAAAGCAGCAACAAGGAAATATAACTACTCCGTCAAAGAGATAGAACGTATGCGAAACGACTATGCTGACTTAAAGAAAGAAGTAGAGAAACCAGCAGAAGATAAAATGGACATGTTGACATTTCTGAACAAAAACTATCCAACTGCTAACGATTTCCTTCTATCTGATGTCAAGAAGAAATATAAAGAAACTTTCGGCATAGTTAAAACTTTTGATATCCTTCGTGAAGAAATAGAAGCTACAAAACTGTTTAAAGTCATGAACCACCACCAATATCCCATATCCCATCCTTTCCCAAGTACCATATCATGTAAAACGCTTGTGAAAAAGAGGTAGCACCTAAAATATATTTTTGCCTGATTTACACTCATTGACGATGAAATCGTGAAAAAACATATACGAAGAAGTCTATTTCCTGGACTGTTGTCAAAATGTCATGTTGTCACACTTTTTCAGAGAAGTTCATTTGACCGAGGGACCGAGGGACCTGGTTAGATCTAAAATATATTTTTGCTGAAAAAAATGACCAAATTTCATGATATAACTGTATTTTTTTGACGAAGAGAACTTTTACACTTCGTAAAAAAAATCCCTGAAATCGTGAAAAAATGACCAAATTTCATGATATAACTGTATTTTTTTGACGAAGAGAACTTTTGCACTTCGTGAAAAAAACTCTATGAAATCATATCTTTTATACAAGATAGAAAAAATAAAATTAACGCTAGTTTTTTTAAAATATTTTTTTTTATTTTGTATGTAAAGACAGTAAATGTTAAACACTGAGTTTGAAACAGTTAAAAAGATAGACAATGAGACCAAAGTGGTTAAAATAGGTGATTTAAACGTAAGATACTCAAAGAAATACAAAAAATATTCTTTGTCAGACATTTTAACACTATCTGAAGGAAAGAAAGCACACGACTGGGTTAAAAATGCTTCAACTCAGAAAATTTTGACAAGAAATCCTGAGCTGATGATATCGGTAAGATTCTATGGAACAAGAACATATCTTATAGACAAAAGTCTTATACCAGTAGTTTTGTTCTGGATTGACCCAGTTGTTGGATATAATTTCATAACATATGGTTCATTCGATACGGAACGTTGCAGTGAAGGCTTACTTTACATCGTTCAGAAACCGAAGGACTTCAATACAAAGAGATATAAGATAGGAAGAACATTTAATATAACTCAAAGATATGACAGTATAGTCAATAGAGTTAAGGTTGCGTTTGTTAACGATATGAGAGCTGCTGAAACAGAACTACTTGAAAAGTTTGAGAAATTGTATGGTGCTCCCACGAGAGGTAAAGAAACGTTTGAAGTAGATGAGATCGACAAAGCTATAAAAGTATTTGACGAAGTTGCTGAAAAATACATGTAAAGCGTTTATTTTTGGTCTTTTATACAAGATAGAAAATAACGCTAATTTTATTTTTTTTTATTTTTTTATTTTGTATGTAAAGACAGATATGACAACAACAGAGAACACAACAACTGCTATCGTTCATGAAGCCATAGATGAAGAATACGAGTACATACAGTATAACAAACAGTTACGTCTCATTCGTTCGGTCAAAGATGACATGTACCAAATACAAAGTATTTTGAATGCTCTTCGTTCTACAAAGCAAGCACGTCATTGGTTTGAAAACCAACAGACAAAAGAACTTTTAGAAGAATTTCCTCATATGTTTGCGACCGGTAGAAAACCGCGGGTCGAGATTCCGTACGAAAATCGTCAAAATTTGCCAAATGGTTTGAGAGGTTGGTATGTACATAGACTTTTAGTAAATGCTGTTGCAATGTGGGCTTCGCCTCGCTATGCTTGTTATATTTTCATGATGTTAGATGAACTTCATAGACAAGAACGTGAAGAGCTAGAGAACAAGCTTGAAGCAAAAGACAAAAACATACAGAAAAGAATACCACGTTCGGTACCAAAAGGAAAGGAAAAGAACTATAAGTATATGATTTACACTGAAGAGATGGAAAATGAAGAAGACAGAGATATGGTTATGTTGCATTTAGTCAGAAGAAACAACAAAAGCTTTTACGACCTTGCTAAGATTTACAAATCCGACAGAAATTGGTTCTATCGCGAAAACTTACCGATTTCAATGACACCGAATGAAGATGTTAAACAGATAGTTCAAGATACGTTACCTCAAACACACTATGATATGAAAGGTTGTACAATACTTACATTCAAAGAAGATTTGCCGCTACTGAAGGAAAAAATAACAGAGTATTTCGATAACTTCAAAGAGGAAGAGTAAATGAACCATTTATTTTTCAAGCTTGACACCAAAGATGGCTCATGTAGCTCTAGATGGTAAATTGTCTTGTCCGAGTCCTTCTGGCATTCCGAGTCCTTCCTTCCGACAGGAAAAGTTTTTCTTTCCGACAGGAAAGGTCCTTCCTTCCGACAGGAAAGGTCCTTCCTTCCGACAGGAAAAGTCCTTCCTTCCAACAGGAAAAGTCCTTCCTTCCAACAGGAAAAGTCCTTCCTTCCGACAGGAAAAGTTTTTCTTTCCTTCAGGAAAAATTTTTCTTTCCTTCAGGAAAAATTTTTCTTTCCTTCAGGAAAAATTTTTCTTGTTGTCCGTCCGTAAACCATTCAAATTTTCGAAAATTGAGAACTTTTTGGCCGGCCTTCAGGAAAAATTTTTCTTTCCTTCAGGAAAAATTTTTCTTTCCTTCAGGAAAAATTTTTCTTTCCTTCAGGAAAAGTTTTTCTTTCCGACAGGAAAAGTTTTTCTTTCCGACAGGAAAAGTCCTTCCTTCCGACAGGAAAAGTCCTTCCTTCCAACTGGAAAAGTCCTTCCTTCCGACAGGACACAAACGAATGTCCGACGTACCACCAACCGAGTCCATTCCAAAGCCAGAAGAACCGACAGCCCCAGCACCACAACAGACTAAGACTAAAACACTTACATTTTTACGCTTGACTTTTTACAATTTGAACTTTGTTTGCGTAGATGTGAATTCTGAAAGAAGTATGAGGGTCTTGTATGACTTTGTACTTCTCCCATAGTTCATGTCTGTCAAACTTACCTGCCATGGACTCTTTCATAAGTTCCATGAAATCGTCTTCGGACAATCCGGGGAAAAGTATGATATCAGTAAGTATTCTCTTTACATCCTTACTTAAACTCTTGCTGTCTGTACACAAATGACAACTGAAATGTTAAAGTGTCTGAGCTTCTTGAGAATTCGACACATGTCTTGTTCTCTGTTCTTTAACAAAGGATGAGAAGCAAAGTCATCTAAGATAAGAAGACATCTATGAGGGTAAGTCTTCCAATCGTAAGATTGCAATTTCTTCGAAATGTATTCTATCTCTTTCTGTTTGTTTCTGAAGTGTTTCTTCTCTAATATTCTCTGCATTTCCTCATTTGGGTCTTTAAACTTAGAATTGACATACTCATTTATAGCATTGTACTTCAAAACTCTTCTTTGGTACTTCTTTATCCAATCTAACAACTCAGTATCTTTTATACATACTAACTTAGACTTTTTTATAATATCTTTGAACGAATTGACGGTTTGGTCAAATTGACCAGAAGTACTACAAATGACTACTAACTCATAGAATGGGTTCTTCTCATCTAGTTCTTGTTGTTGTGCAGCCATTTTAAGATAAGTGAAAGTCTTACCCGACCCAGGCGGTGCAATTAGACCTGTTATACCATTCTGAGCAAATAAGAACTTGTCATGTATGGGTTTTATCTGAGCATTTTCCAACTTCCTCTTGTTCTTATTTAAAACATTCTCAAATTTTTTGTCAATGTCAGCAAACTTTTTTTCTAACATATTTTTAGAAAAATTAAAATTTTTATCTTTTAGGAAATGTCTAGCGATTTCGCTATCTATATTCGAGACAAGCTTTTCGACAGCAAAACATCTGTCGACCATAAAATCTTACATAGTGTAAACAAGAAAGGTGAATTTGTTCTAAAGTTCTGTTTCTGGGAATATGACAAGAACCATAAAACCTTAAGCAGAGAAGTCTTAAAATTTGTCAATGACAGACTTGTTGACAGAGATGACGCCTCTTGGAGAGATGAAGTCCAACAAAACTTCTTAGAATGCAAAGAAGACACATGCGCTGTTCTTGAAAATGAAATAGAAAACAGAATAGAAGAGCTATTAAATGACAAAGCACTTTTACAAAAATATGGTTCTGAGAAGTTTGACATAACTCCACCAGAAAAGAAGAAGAGAGAAAAGAAAGAAAAGAAAGTAGAAGAAGAGAAGAAAGAACCAGAGCCAGAGAAGGGGAGATATGACATGTAAAAATAAAATTTTATTTTTAGAACATTTCTGGGTCAATGTCAATGTTCTCTTCCTCTTTAGGAGCAAACACTGGCTTAGACTCTAAAATCTTTTTACCCAATTTACCTTGAACTTCAACTATCTTAGACTCATAATATTCATAGTCGTCTGCTTTCTTTGGTTCATAAGGTATAACAAGTTTGTATGCTTTGCCTTCTTTAAGGTTTGAAAACCTTCTGTCAAAACTTTCTTTGACTGTTAACAAACCTTCTATGTCTAAGTCTTCAAATTTCGCACCATTTTTAGTCACAATAGCAAACTTAACTGGTTCGATGTTCCAAACTTTGTCAAATGTAGACTTTTCAAAATGGTAGAAGTAAACATTCAAATATGTGAATGGGTCTAGTTCTTCTTTAAGTCCTGACATGTACTTGTTGACTGAGATGAATTTCGTCATCTTTCCTATCGGATAAAAAAAATATTTTTTTTAAAATTTACTCAGAAAAATTTTTCCTTGTATATACACCATTCTGTACGTCTAAAAGACTTTTGACATTTGCCAAGAATGTTCGTTTAGACGCTGCCATATAACCATACTCTTGACAATACTGTTTATACGAATCGTACAATGACCTTTCATCTAAACACTCAAAGTCAGTTTCATCTATGAACAGTTCATATACACTCTTGTTTGCTTCTAACAATGTTTGTCTCTCTTCGGTATGTGGAATTTGTCTTGGATTGAACTTAGAAATATCTAATGTCATGAAATATGAGAACAAGTGGTTGTAAAAGTAGATGTCAAAGTTTCTGACAAAGCGTCAAAATATTCTGTATCTTGCATATGAGAATCTGACGTTCTGACAACTACATATCTTCTGTCAGAACTTTCTAACTTCATCGGAACGGCGTTGTTTGAAACCATGATGAAATTTGCAACATTTTCACAAACTCTTTGGTCTTTATATTTCTTTCAACAACTCCAACTTTGTCTGTTATAAGACTCTTCAAAGCATCTGAGTTTAAAACCTTTGTTGTATCTATACTTTGAAGTTCGTTACATACTATAAGTTTCATATTCTCTATTGAAGAGTTAAATTTACCGCAGATGTTTTCTAAGTTTGTCATATTCGGGTTCGAATAGCCCTCTAACAGTTTGCATAAGATATCTGTAAAGAAAGTGTTCTTACCTGTTCCTTGTTTTCCAATTACAATGAGAGCAGTTTCATTTTTAGCACTTGGATGTTGTAAGATGTTTGCAAACCAACATAAGATATACTCATAGACTCTTTCGTTTCCATTGCATATAATTTCTTTGACATGGTCTAACCAAGCTTCTATAACATTTTCTTTCCATTCTACTTGTTCGTATTTATATCCAGTGAAGATAGAATAGAAGTTTGGAGATGGTGTATAGAACTTTATACCACGAACTGAAAAATCTTCTAACTTTGACAATAAGATATCCCAAGCATCTAACATCTTCATACCAACTTGTACGACTTTTATTTTCTTAAGTTTCTGTTTACATTCTTGTTCTGAAACTATTGTCGCTTTAGGTTTGTTAAAGACTACATCCCATTCTTTCATGACATAACATTCTGGGGCAGAGTCGACATAAATGACTAAACGTTTCAAATTCTCGACTGCTTTGTTATAGTCTCTAAATGGACACATATTTCTGAACGCTTGGAAGTCATAAAAATCTGAAACGTCTATTCTGTACATTTTTTTATAAAAATAAAAAAAAATATTTTTTTTATTCTTGAGCTATTTGTTGTTCTTGACTTTGTTGTTGCATTTGTTCCATTTGTTGCATTTGTTGTTCTTGAGCTATTTGTTGTTGAAGTTGTTCTTGTAGTACAATACTTTCACCAGTTGCATCTTCCAATTCGAAACTTTCTGCCGTCATTGACAAATACATAGGACATAAAAGTTTTACAGGAACAAAGTTTGCGTCAACTAAGGTTAAGTTTATGTTTGCTAAAGTGTTTGAGTTTACTAAAGCTGAAAACTCTGCATTCGAATGAACAATAGGCAAACCAGCAGAGAAAGTGTTGTTTATACGCATGAGTATCTTTTGGTCATAGTAGTTTCTGTCGACATTCGAATAGCACTTTGAACCTAAGTTTGAAACAATATATAAAATAGGTGTACTTAAAGTCAATGGAACAGACATTCCTTGTATGACACCTTTTCCTGTTATAGGAAACTGTTGGTAGTAAAAACCAGATATAAGTTTTGTATTATAGCTCATATCGTTTATACTAAACTCAGTCGGACATCCAAACATAATGAAACCTGCTCTAGTTGCAGCACATGTTACATCCGTCCTTAAAGTATTAAATAAGTCAACAAAACCTGTTGGTGGTATATCTGAGTAAGTATCTTCAAAGGAGTATTTTTTACCATTCACAACAATAAAATCTTCTGGTGTCAAAAGAGCAAAACAGGCTTTAGTCGTCATCGTGTTTAAGGTCAGTTTACAATATCGTCCTTGAGGACTTTGTAAGTTTGTTGTTATAGAATTATATGACTCAGGGTTTTTAGTCGTAATAGTATAAACCACTATGTCTTCTGCCATTTACATATATTTAAAAGTTTTTCTGAAAGTGGAGAAGAACTTCATCTAAACTTTCACATGGCGTTTCTTGAAGTTCTCTGTCTAAGAAGTTCAAATATTTTGTAAAGACATAGAACTTTCCTTTGTCTACACGAACAAACAAAACAGGGTCTTTCATATCGTTCAAAAGTGTGTAAAGTCCTTTACATGAAATAAAGTCTATATTGTTTTTCTTCAAACATCTTTCAAGAAGTTTTGACATTTTTACTTAGCAAGTAAATTTTAATGAAATGTTGTGGTCGTCAAATATTTTTATGACGTCTGGGAAACTATATTTTAAGTTCAACGTTTCACCTCCTTTCATAACGTATATCTTGTCAATGACATTATATGAAACACCACAGCAAGCAATGTCGGGTTCTATTTCTTTGATGTTTATATCGTCTGCCTCTGTCAAAAGTTTCAATAGTTCTTTCAAAACTTCATGAGGTGCGATGACATATGAGTTCACTTTTACAGGGTTGTGCTCGACCAAGTTTAACATTATACCAAAGCTTGACAAATCTTCTCCTGAGTTTTAAGTTTGTCTTTAAGTTGTTGGTAGTCGTTTCGAATATCTGCAACAGAACTTAAGTCTCTGCTAACTTCAGGATATGTTGGTTGTTCTTTTACAGGAACTATTGTTATACCATCTTCGTCTTCGTATGGTTTCCCCACTTCAACATCTCTTCTTTGACATTGACAACAACACTTTGACTGTTTGTTTGAGTTGGTGAATTTAACTTCACATCTGCCATCGCCATTAAACCTTTTGAAACACTTACGCTTCTATTTTTCGGAAATGACATTTTACTTAGAATAAAAAGATGGACGTATTTGAGTATCTCTTCGAATTGAAGCAAAACAAAGTTTACACACACAAACAATACAAGTTCATTGACAGAATAGTTCTTTATACAAACAATGGAAAATGTTATAGAATAGCAGTCTTTGCTGAACCAAAATATTTTCATAAAGCAAAGAAAGTTGGTATAACCGAGATGGTGAAAGTTCTTGAAGCAGACAAAAATATAACAACAAA